CCTGGGCCCGGGGGCGGCTGACCCCCCGAGGGAGCCAGTTGTACCGGGACCACTTTAGCAAGGTGCCTGAGGCAGAAAGCAGAGATGTTGGGCTGGGATGCCGGAAAAAAGCCCAGCCGGTGCCAGATGCGTCCTTCCCCTTTTCCCTTTCCCTGGCCACGCACAGTGCAGCGGGGGCTTGTCTGGAGACCCCCAGGTGTGCATTGCTCAGGGGACACGGCCATGCTGAGTGGTCTCCCTTGGGAGGGACTGTTTGGGAGCTTTCCCCACCCCTGGGGTGGTTGGAAGCCGGACGCTGCCGCACATCCGCCGGGTCTGGGAACGGGAGGCTGCCGGTTCTGCAAAAGCCATTTGCAGCCGCCCTGAGCATTTGAGCGCACAAGAAACTTCCTCCGCTCTGCTCGCAATGGGAAGGTTCTGCTGGAGCCCACCCTGCAGCCCTGGGACGTGCTGCCCGCGGCATCCCACCGACGCTGATCCCACTGCCTGCACACAGCCCGTTCTGCCCTGCACCCCCACACACATTTGGGAGGGACCCTGGGGGCCAAGTTACCCACAGCAGTAGCTTTGCAGACGCAAAGTTGCATCCCCAGAGACCCTTCTGCCCTCGGCGATGCTGCACTAAGCCTCCGCATGGGAGGGCAGCTGTGGGGCAAGACGAACTCCCCTGGTTTGAGGCAGGGCAGAAATCAGAGCCAAGTTCTGCATCCCCACAGGAACCCTTTATTCTGCGCCCGGCGCCCAGCCTTCCCGCTGGGCTGAACTTGCCTGGGAAAGCATGAACCCATGGGCTGAGAGCTGCTGAAGTGCGGCATGCCAGCGCGGGCAGAGCCGGGCTGGGGGAATCGCCGTCGTCTTGTGTTTCTGGGCCTCTTGGACTTCCCTGCTTGCTGTTATTTTATCCGGGTGAAAACACTGGTGCCAATCCTGCAGGAAACCCCAAGTCACCGGTGGTTCACCCAGCCAAGATCACCTATGCTGTGGTGGAGAGTACAGAAGGGAAACCCGAGGCGGGGCACTGTGTTCCCCACTGCCTCGCTGGGTGCGGAGTGGGATGCCCAGGGCTCTCAGTGCTCGGTGGCAGAGGCTGCTCTGGGTGCTGGCATCATCTCTTGCTCTCTCCTCGCTGGGCAGAGTGCAAGGAGAGTCCCGGGAGATCTGGCTGGGCCCAGAGCCCACCCTGGTGTCACCCACCCTGGAGCACACCTGGGATGCAGGAGCTGACCAGGTCACAGGGATGCTCCTTGGCCCCTCCTTGTCTCCGGTGACAAACCCATTTCACCCTCCTGATGCCACAGTGCCTCATCCCATGGGATTCTCCCCTCTCCCGCCCCAGGGTGCAGGAAAGCTCAGTGTAGAAGTGGCTGGGACCTGGTGCTCACCGGGTGGCTTTCCAGTCCTCAGCGGGGCTCTCGGCCGCCTCTCTCATGAGCCACAGGGCGTGCAGGGTCTCTTCCCCATTGGTGCCCACATAGCACTGGCCCAGGAAGGCAGTCGTCCTGGCTGTCTCCGAGTCTGGAAAAGTCCAAGGGGACATGAGCCGAGGTAGCAAGGCACAAAGCCAGCCCCCTGGGTCCTGCTGGTGTCCCTGCTGCAGGGCAATGGCCCCCTCCTGCCTACCTCGGAGCCGCCAGTGCACAGTGAAGGAGAAGGTGGGCTGTGGGACCAGTCCTGCGTCCTGCTGGGACCCCTCCAGCGGCGAGGTGAGGATTTTGGGGTCACTGGCCGCAGGACCCGGCAGATAGGAACCAGAGAAACTGCCGTCCTTGCTGAGGATGGACACGACCATCCGGCAGCCGGTGTCGCTCCGCCAGGACCCGGAGAGGATGCACTGCAAGGCCGGTGCTGTGGTTTGGGGTGCCCAGACAGGCAGGGAGGGCATCCTGCTCCCACCCTGCCACCCTGGCTCTGCCTGAGAACTGGGAGACCCTGTGCGAAGCTGGTGCCACCAACATCCCCACCTTTGCACAGGCGCTGCAGCTGCGCTGCTGACTTCAGCCCAGCCGTTGCACTGGGCTGTTTGCTGCTCCCACCCGGGGAGCAGGCAGGAGTTCCCCACGCTGAAGCAAGCTGTGTGCAAGCTTTCCCTGCATGCTTGGTGGGAAAAGGGGTTTCTCTGGAGCAAGGCTCCATTTTTTTTGCCTCTGGATGGATTCCCACAGCAAGGAGCATCCGTGCGGGAGTGGTCCCTCCCTCCCAGCCTTTCTGCAGCTTTCACCTGTGCTGGGTGGTGCTGGTTCCACCACCACCAGCATCCCAGCCCCGGCTCCCGGCCAAGCACTGCAGCCCGAGCCCTTGGGGTCTAGCGGGGTGTCAGCACTGCATCCCCATTGCCACCCGTCCCCGTACCTTCCTCTCTGTGGGGGTGGCACACGTCGCCAGGGCCAGGGCGAGGACCAGGGCGAAAGCACGGCTCCGCATGGCTGCGGGGCTGCGAAGCGCCCAGCACGGCTCCCTCCCAGCCCTGCGCCCTGGCCCCCTTTATAGGGCTGTAAACGGAGCCCCGCGGGCACGGTGGGCGT